AGTACTGGACAGCTGTTTCGTCAGCCTAGTTTGGGACTCTTCATCAGTACGCACCCACCTCCAGGGTTCGAACCCAGGACCTTCTGGTTACAAGGCGAGCTCGCATACCATTAAGCCACTGGGACCCGATCCAATGACCAACCCATGAATCCTAACTTTTGCCAATTCACGATATAGCGCAACCACTAGCCAATGTCTTCGGCGAGTATTTGTCCTCACACCCGACCTGCTGCACCCTACTGGTCACGACTTCCCACTGGAACCCCAGGTAACTACATATCAGACATACAGGAGATTTTTTTACTTCAAGTGAAACCAGAGAAAAAAAATAAGCCATAATTATAAACTCTGTAATGAAAATCAATTCTGAATATTGAATCTTCTGTCACAAGATTGACGTGATTATAATATGCTAACAGATAAACAGTGTGTGTCAAAAAAGACGTCAACCAACGTCATTGAATAAATATCAAAATATATTATTCAATTCTACATAACAACAACGCATAGTTAAGAAACTTATCTGGAGAAGAAGAACAAAAAAAGCACAACCACATTCCCAACTAATGGACAAATAATAATTCGATTAAGATACGTAATTCTGATAGACAGATTGTCTCAATCTATTAAAATATGACCTCTAATGGTGTTTTCTACTCTTGTGAGTATTTCAAATGTCTACAGTCTGCTGATTCTCAAGTTACCCACTACGCTTGAGAAAAAAAAGCTAAATCGTGGATGGTAAAGTGTATCTCAATGCATGAGATAACTGTCTGCGCGATTTTTAGTACAAAGTGCGAATGCCTGATAAATAAAACTAATTACCTGCAGTCTTCAATGCATCAGAGATTATTATGTCTTAGGATCTCAACATTATGTACTCCTGCACTTTTCTTAACTGACTTTCAACTAAATATTGTGCATTTCTCGAAGGAGGCAGAGAGGAAATATTAGAAAAGGATTGGCTTTCGCTTCAGGTTAAACAGTGTGTGATGAGAGCTGTCTACTAGCCAAAATTGGTAGACAGCAATTTACGTCAATGTTTACGTCCCAAATCGGGGTCATGAGAAAACAACAAGAACAAAGACCAACCTCGAGGAACTCAACAACTACTAATCACAGCAGACTTAGCGTGGGCGGATACGATTAACAGATATATCAACGGACTGTTTAAGAAACGGCAACAAAAGAAAGAATGCAGAATAACCTTCAGCAAGAAAAAAACCAATCAGAAGACGTTGCTCCTCTGCTAACAATAACGCTAATAATAATAATGTACATAAAAATCTATAAATCCCAAACTAGGACGAAACAGCTGTCCAGTACTCCCAGGTTTTCCAGTGGTTCTCTAACTGATGTCAGCTCATGATGAAATCCTCCACGCAATCAAACAAAATCCCTACAAAACCAATACCTATAAATATCTGTTGGTTTTCTCAATAAACGATCTGTTACCTGGCCCTTGTCTTCTGTTGTTGCAACAACAGTGTGTCAAGTGATTTACTGTCAGCTAATATTTTACTTATAGATCCTGGACAAACAGAAACTATTAGGCAATAATAATTCCAGCTGAAAATTCTGTACATTATCCAAACAGTGTTCAGGATAAACCGATTATTTCATACATTTATTCTCCTTAATAAATTTGAACAAAGCAAGAATTACAGTTTTTGCAGAATAATAAAGTGGTACCATCTTTTATTTCGTTGCCTTCTCATCAGCTGCTTACAGACCAATGACACTATTAAATGTATCTACAAAAACAACTTAACATACTTGCACAGAATTCATTTTAAACAAAAATCAATCGATCAATATACGCATACACTAATAATGTATACATATATATGCAATATTAAACACTATTCCGAACCATAATAATCATACACAATGAAAACTTTTCAGCATTTCGCATTCGGATGAAACATATCCAGTTACCAGGGCAAAGAAAGACTGATAACTGCTTCTTTCTGAACGCATAAATCAGGTTTTCAGGCGCTTAATGGAAATGGCTTCAACAAACTTGAGGAGAATTGAACTCTTTTGCCTATTGATAAGTTTGAACGACTTTTCGACGTCCACCTCATGACCCGTGTTGAGGAGATGCCTGGTGATGGATGGCACTGTTTAAAGCATTTGTTCCCTATAGACGTAAACCTTTTGGTACATGTTCAGAAAATCGTAGATATGCCCTTCTTTCTGTTCTTCCAATGTAACTGCTCACGCAGATACATGTTAATTTATATATACAGTTGGAGTTAACATGAGAAGGATATCTACCGATTTTTGATTGCGCAAAAGAGCAAGTTGTCCGATAGACGGAATTGAGCTTAGCTGCAGGATAGGCTATGGCTAGAGATGTGCTCAGCCTTCTGTTGATCATCGCTGCAATGTTTTCACCTTTATAATCAAGCCGAAAGCTTTTTTCTTACTGTGATTTGTTTTACATTTGTGACTTCAGATTTTCCATACTTGTTGATGAACCTTTGGGGGTACCCATTGCTCTTCAATGTCTTTTCGAAAAACTCAAATTCTTCCTCTAATTTCTCTATAGAGCATATTCTCCTCGCTCTATAGTACAGAGTCTTGACTAAACCACGTTTAAAGCAAGAATGTTAAAATTGTTTTTGTAGATACATTTAATAATGTCTTTGCCCTGTAAGTAGCTGACGAGAAGGCAACGAAATAAGAGATGGTACTATTTTATTCTACTAAAACTGTAGTTCTTGCTTTGTTCAAACCGATTATTATTAGTCTCGTTATCAGACTTGTGGTTGTTCGTTTTTTTTATCTCAGTTTAAAGCAATGAACTGATCCACTTTGTTAACACCTTTCGAAGAGATATCTCATTATTACCTTGATCTTTTTTTGTTATTATCTGCCAGGTGGTGGTAGCTAGCTGGTTAGTTAGTCAGCAAGAAATACGTGAAATCATTGCTTCAAACGATTCCAAGATTTGGCGCGGGTGTCCGAATGGCTACCGAAGTTTATGATCAACAGCTGCCTTCCCTCCATACTGAAGATGGCTAGCCAGAAAGAATAAGCAAGAAGGAAATCTAACAACGAACGAAATAAGAGCCTAAAAAATATGCGGAAGGAAAAAAGAAGATGGATTGGACGTATACTGAAGAGACCATTGAGTGATATCAAGCGCCAGACACTCCAGTGCAACTCTAATGGGAAACGAGACGGATGTGGATCCGAGAGTGATCTGGAAATTATGTGAGGAGGAAGTAAAAGTTTATGGACCAATTGAAATGGAGATGCGCTACTTTAAAGCCGTATATTTCACTAGAAATAACGAGGTATAATAGTGAGAAGAGCTCTTATTCTTCAAAAATATTCTGGATCAAAATGGATACTCAACGCGCTTCCTAGAGAAGAACATGAAACCAAAGCAAGAAGAGAACAATATATTTCAGTGTCAAAGAAAATACTCTATATGAATTTCCACTTCAGAGGAGACTTAATGGCAGATACCCTGAAGAGGTGAATTTCTAGTTCCCTAAAGAAGACCTATCCTGCAGCAACTCTAAGAGTGACATCCTCTAGCCACTCACTGCTTGAAAGCAACGTGAAGGACGAACTCCTGCATACGACTACTCCAACGTGCATGTATCAGTTCACCTGCTCGTGCAAAGCGAGGAACATAGGTCGGTCTTTTCAAAACATGTTAGTGAATATTACTCTGTATGGCTACAAAGACAAGGCACTGATTCAATCAGAAGTGCCATAACTGAACACTTCATCAAAAAATATCACAGCATCTCAACCGACTCATCATTCAAGGTAAACAAAAATCTACCACGTACCGCACGTACATGCATTGAAGAGCCGGAAGTATGTGCTCGAAAACAACTAGTCCAACCTCTACATTTACCATACGTTAACGCTGTTAATCAGTCAGGTTATCCGGCTATCGACCAAACAGCGCGTGTACAGCTCACCAGTCCGCTTCGTCCTCCTTTATGGCTGTGAGACCTGGCCATTGACAGTGGAAGACATGAAAAGCCTGGTTAGCTGTCTTCGATCATAGGTGCCTGCGCTCAATCTCCCGTGTGAAGTGGTATAATATGGTGAGCAATATTGAGGTTAGGCACCGGTCGAGTGCTAGGTAATGAGGGGGAATCAATCCACGAGGCTGTGAAGCTACATCGACTGAGATGGTTAGGACATGTGCTACGTATGCCTAGTCATCGCCTTCCTCGACAATGGGCAATGTTAGCTCATATAGGGTCAGGCTGGAAAACAGCTAGCGGCAGTCAAATCAAAACATGGCACCAGTTAATGAAATCTACAACAGTTAGTTTAAACCAGTCACGTAAGAATGTGTAGACGTCCTGGTTGGGGTCCTCGGGACGGTAAAAACCAGTGGCTGGAGACAATTGATGATATGGCTCAAAGTGATCGTTCGCAACGACGCAGGTGTATCCACTCCTTGTGACTTAAAATTTCCAATAAAACTATATTGTTCGTCATTATTACTATCCCTTTTGTCTCATATTTCTGTTTACTGTCTCTATTTTGCATTTCTTCTCTTGCTTTGTGTGCTACATGAAGTGTGGTGACTTCAACTGCTGCACATTGGTGCAGAGACCTATGTTGAAAACAGAAAAACATTATTTCTTATCTTGTAATCTTTATTCACACCTTCAAATTTTCCTATCAAATTGAAAATTATTACCACCTTTAATCTCCTCCATTGTTATATGGAATTAAATAATAATTGTATCTGCGTAAACTTATGTATATAAATGAGATTGTACAGGTTTTGAGGATGATATCGTCAAAAAGATATCCTTGCTGAGCAGCTTTTTGCACTTCTCCTAATTATAAAGCCTGCATCTCACTGTTCCACAATGCTTACCCGTTTTCCATACTTGAAGTATTTTCCTTTTAGACTATTCGGCTAACAAAATTTCAGTGTTAATTGTTATCAAATAAAAATAAATACATAAATAAATAACACAAAGAATTCATTAGAAATGAATTAAATTTACCTTCCAAAAAGATCATTCAACAGATAGACAAGATGAGATGCTGATTTATTTGAACTCATCTTTGTAAAACCAACAATATCTGCGAATAGTACACTAACATTTTCTAATTGATTAACATGAAATTTACGAAAAGCAACTGCACGAGCTGGAAGTACAGTTGACTTAGGCACTAGACTGGATCTTGGACTAGTACCATCAGCACCACCGACTCCAATTTCTAAATCATCTAAGAATATAGTGAAGGGAAGAAATTATTTTATTATTTAAGACCTGAGTGATAAGAAGAAACACTATAATTTAAAAATTATATATAACACTTCAAAACTAAAACAGTAAACAGAGAGAATTCAATGATATTGAGTAATGAGAAATTTCTTTCCCTTAGTAAATTTCTGTCTGTCTGTTTTCGACATAGAACTTTGCACATATATGCGGCAGTTCAAGTCGCCACACTCCATCCATGTAGCACACAAAGCAAGAGAAGAAAGTAGGAGAAATGCATAATAATATAGACAGTAAACAGAGGTGTGAGACAAAGGAATAGTAATAATGAAGAACAAAACAGTTTCATTAGAAATCATAAGTCACAAGGAGTGGATGCATCTGCGCCACTGAGAACGATTTTGAGCCATGTCACCAATTATTTCCAACCATTGGCTTTCATCGTCCCGAGGACCCCAACCAATCAGGAAGTCTACACCTTCCTACGTGGCTTAGACTTACTGTTGTGGATTTCATTGACTGGTGCCATGTTTTCGTTTGACCACCGCTAGCTCTTTTCCAGTCTGACCCTATATCAGCTAACATTCTGTCTGTCTGTCTGGATTCAACGTAGAACTTGGCACCGAAGTGCAGCAGTTCGAGTTGCCACTTTCCAAGTAGCACACAAAGGTAGACAAGAAAATGAGTGAAGAGAATCAATAGTTTTGACAAGTATAAGAGTGAAACAGAATGAGTAATGGTAGAAAGGAGTATGAAAGATTACAGAGACTGAATACATCTGCGCCATTGACAACGATTTTGAGCCATGTCACCTATTGTCTCCAGCCATTGATTCTTAGAGTCCCGAGGGCCCCAACCCGGAAGTCTGCATCACCCTACCTGACTCAGTTTAACTGTCAAGGATTTCATGGATTGATGCCATGTTTTTGTTTGGCCACCACTTACTCTTTTCCAACCTGCACCTATATCAGCTAGTAATGCCTGTCGGGGGAGACGATGGTTAGGCATGCGCAGCACGTGGCCTAACCATCTCAATCTATGTAACTTTATAGCCTCTTCGAGTGATTTTCCCTCTTTGCCCAACACTCTACGCCTAACGTCAACATTACTTACCTTATTATACCACCTAACGCGAGAAAGAGACCGACAGCTAACATTGCCCATTGTCGAGGAAGGCGATGACTAGGCATACGTAACACATGTCCTGACCATCTCAGTCGATGTAATTTCACACTCTCGTCTATTGATTTCCCCGCCTTACCTAGCACTCGACAGGTGCCTAACCTCAATATTGCTCACCTTATTAAACCACTTCACGCGGGAGAGAACGCAGACACCTATGATCAAAAACAGCTAGTCGGGCTTTTCATGTCTTCCACTCTCAATGGCCAGGTCTCACAGCCATAAAGGAGTACAGAGCGGACTGATGAGCAGTACACACACCCTTTGGTCGATAGTCGGATATCACGTCTACGCCAGAGACGGCTTAAACTGGAATATGCGAAACTGGCCCTCTGTATTCGTGCTGAGATTTCATCAGAGATCAACCCGTTGGGGCTGATGGTACTTCCCAAGTAAGTAAAGCGGTCAACGTGCTCTAACACTTCACTCTTAGTAAATTTAAAGTAAGCAACAACTGTGAAAGAAGGAGGATTTAATGAAAATCATCAAAATTTCGGTAGAGGGACTTGTCAACTGAAAACTCTACAAAAGGGTGATTTTTTTATTCCTTTACGTTCCCAATGGAACATAGGACGGCTTCAAGTTAGAGGCTTTAAGTTTCTGTAGCAGTGGTGATTATTTTTACAGGATAGGTTTGCTAGCCTCATGCCCAACCTTCCCTCTTTACCAGTCTTACTACTGACTTAGCGAGGTAAAGGAGTGCGTCTGTGGTCGGGGATCGGACTCCAAATCACATGAGGCGTGATTGGCGAGCATTCTACCGCTGTGCCAGCGACACACCAAAGGGTGATTATATGTAGCATATCCCTTTTACTGAAGTGGCGTCACCTGCTTTATCCGGTGGGGTTATAAGGGCGTTTCAATAAATAGGCCAAAATATACCAGCATCATTTTATGCAAATTCAATAATGTACGTTTAACTTTTCAACTTGTCGCATCCTTTATACATCACATCGCATAGATACCAGAATTAAGCAACATTTTCTGATAAAAGTACAGCAAATGTGTAACGCAGTTCAAGAATATAATGTCAGAAAAAGATTTATAGTGCAAAATTTCATTTAAAAAGTATATTTAAAAATACAAGTTGTCATTAAACCACCATAGCAACGGATTATGACACTATAATTAGCGGGTATATGCAATTAAGCCACTCCACAACAAACATTGTTATTTATACAATCTCCTTTTAAGGTTAAATACATACAAACACATGAGCAATGTGACAATAAGTAAATATCAATTTGGTGAGTGATAATCTCTTAACGTCATTATTAGGTGAACAATAGTCATCAAAGCACATATAAACTGGAGTTATTGTTGTAGAATTAATACAATTATAGACATTAGATATGATGATAATGATAATGAAATACAAGGAAACTTCGTAAAAAAACACATAAGTGAGGATGGAGTTCCCCCATTGATGTCATTGTTTGGTGCCCGCGCTAAATATATCACGAATCGGTAGAAGTTAGAATTCATGCGGTGGCCATTGAATCGGGTCCCAGTGGCTGAATGGTATACTAGCTTGCCTTGTAACCGGAAGCCCGTGGGTCCGAATCCCAGTAAGTGCGTACTGACGATGAGTCCCAAACTAGGCCGACGAAACAGATGTCTAGTACTCCTTGGTTTTTAATGCTGCTGTAACTGATATCAGTCCGTGGTCAAACTCGAATAATAATAATAATAATATTAATAATGGAAAAACAATTGTTAAGAGGAGAAAGATTAGCAAAATTATAAAAGTTAAATAATAGTATGCTATCAAGATAGATTCAAGTTAACTACCATCTCGCTTTGTATACATGGATCCGGCTACTTTAATCTGATTTAATAATAATAATAATGATTTACTTTATTCCAAAAACAGTACTTGTGATACAGAATGGAATTTTCAGCATTAATCACAATATTGCATCTAATTTCCTCAAGTTATAAATAAAATTAATCACACAGAAAATTTTTCTACATTTACAATAGGGTTATTATAAAAAAAAATAAAAAATAAAAAGCATGCAGCATATAAAATAGAAATAATAATAATTATAGCAGCTAAGGTAATAATAATAATACAAGTGGAAATTTCCGTGGGCTTGTTTCACACAGTATTGTCGATGCGGTAGAGAAATCCTAGCATGTTTAAAAATATTGAATATAATGTTCTCTTTACATGATATGGTGAGGGAAAAAAGAAAGATTACAGCAGTCATAGAGATAAGTTGGTGTTTGCAATTATGAGCGTAAAACAAAGAAGCAACAGGACCATAAATATAATAGAAATAATAAAAGTAAAACTTGAAGGTATATAAGTATGGATGGAGGAAATTGTTTATTTACTGGATGAAAAGAGGTTAGTCAATTCTTGTCTGACACTATTTTCATCACATAAAATACGTGCCAAGTATGGTATCATAGAATTTTTATACTTAGACGTGCGAGCATACAGTTTTCTGAAGTTATTTCTTGTTCTACCTGAGGAGATGCAAGGTGAAAGCTGAGGGCTTCAGCAAAACCACAAGCTTTTTTATTACCTTGCTTATTTAATAACTATAACGCTTGTACAAAACCACACCGTATTGTATCAAAAGAAGACAGGGGCCAGGCAACAGATCGTTTATTTACGAAATTAACACATTTTTAAAGATTTTCATGTATATTATTATAGATTATTTAAGCGAACAAACACAGTCTTCTGATTGGTTGTTCCTCACTGAAAGTTAATCTTTCACCTCTTCGTGGCTGTTTCTTTGATAGTCAGATCATCTATATGCTAACTGTATCCGCCTACGCAAAGCCTTTGTTCTCATTTTTCTCACGACCAATATTGGGGACATAAACATTGACGTAAATTACTGTCTAGCAACTTTGGCTAGCAGCCGCCAGCTCTCACCACAGTATGATCACAGTCCAATAAATTTCGTGTAACTAAGCTCCTTGGGATACCATTATGAATACTACAAAGCCATTGGGGGGGGGGCAGTGTATCCGACAGCGCAAGCTAAAAGACATCTTTCCGTATTCGCTTCCAAAATTTTAAAATCTTCTTTAGTCCTATAAGTATAAAACTTGGACACTGTGGTAGAGTATAACTCCATTATGGATAAGATTTTATTTTGATCAATCACACAGTGTTGTTATACAGTAATATTAACTGATGACCACGTTTCGAGCACAAATTAATGCCTCTCATAATCATATCAAGTTGATTCTTTAGTCCTATGCGGCTTACAAATGTTAAATTTATTTATTTATTTGTTTTTTTACAAAGTTTCATTGTGTTTCAATATTATTATTATCATTTTTATTATCATCATATCTAGATGTTTTAATAATTGTATTAATTCTCCTACAATAACTTCAGTTTAAATGTCAATGTGTATAGTTGTGTATAAATAACAATGTTTGCGTAGAGTATTCAGTCGACGAATCCCTCTCTACTGCTTCTCGTACAGTTATTACTTGTTTTACATTGACATTAAATATGACATTTAACATATATACATATATAGTCCATGATATTATTTTCAGAAGGGTAAGAAAGTGAAGGGCAGTGAAGGGCTTAACAAGTTATAGGCGAAGAAATATCGATTGATTTTACGTCACTCAACTAACTGACTTATTGATCAATAATAACAAGAATAATAATAGTTAGTAGTAATAATAATAATAATAATAGAAGCTAATATAATCGGACAAAGCATTCAAGCTAGCTGGTTCACATTACTGTTGTATTATACTTAACTTGTAGGCTTGTGTTTTCTTTTCAATTGTCTTATGCCTTATGTTGTGTTGATTTCTGTATGTCTTTTTTTTCTAGCA